ACCCAATAAAAAACATTGAACAAACATACAAACCGACAACAGTTATTTAGTAATCTTATAATTTTATAAATTGTTTCAAATCTTCCAAATCTTGAATCAATATTTGTTTGAGTATTGCAAAAGTCGTCGGTGCACTCAAATAATCATATGTGTGATTTGGCTGTGCTTGGATATACGCCAGAGGTGGCCTATGGTTATCCATAGGTACCTTTGGTTTGATATTCTATATATCAAATATCAAACCATGGGTACCCAAAGATACCTATGGGTAACCATAGGCTGCCTTAGGCGTATATCCAAACACAGCCGTACATTTCATCATGCTTTCAACAATAATGGCTGTGTTTGGATATACGCCAGAGGTGGCCTATGGTTATCCATAGGTACCTTTGGTTTGATATTCTATATATCAAAATATCAAACCATGGGTACCCAAAGATACCTATGGGTAACCATAGGCTGCCTTAGGCGTATATCCAAACACAGCCAATAATCTCATTGTATCGTAGTAGATATGTTACACTTACGGATACTTTTAAACGTCTTTCATATATATTGTGAAAACCTTTTTAACATCGGTATGGTTTATGGATGTCGTTCTATTTTTTTCCTTTGAACGATTACTTTTTTCAGAGACAAAATATGAAGAATTAATAGAAACTAATGATGAATATATATATATTTTAAATCATTTTTTTTTGTTTTTCGTTCAAAAATATCTGATGTCAACAGGTTCTGTAGGTCTTTAGATTTTACTTAAACAGTCCGGTAGAGTTATTATAGCACACTCGTACAAAAGCCAGTAAGTGTCAGGTTGTAGTTTTATTTTAGTCGTTATCACGACTTAGTTGACTGTTAGAACGACTAAGTTACTTGTTATAACGACTAATCTAACTCTTTATCACGACTTAGTTAACTTGCTATGACGACTTTATAACTAGTTATAACGACTAAGTTACACATAATGTCGACTTAGCTAGCTAGTTATCACGACTGAGCTTACTCGCTATAATGACTTAAATATTATGATATTTTAAGAACTTGGTAACTTACATCTGCAAGTTATATATTTAACACCACAAGACTTTGAATTATTAAGTGTTTTTAAAATGCAGATAATTTGTTTGTGCCGCTAGCAGATAAGCTTAACGTAAAGATTTCTCTCAACATATCATGCAATTAAATGTACTTAATTTTACTTTAGATATATTTTTTAAAAATGTCAGGTGCACTTTAAATTTAGGGTATTTTCCCCCTAACTTCCATATCTCTGATGCATACATTAAGATAAGTGCAATTAGACACCAAACAGTATTGACTGTAGGTCAACAGGAGAAAGTAAAATAACAAAAATACCGAACAAAGAGGAAAATTAGAAAATTCAAAAAGGAAAGTCCATAATCAAATGGCAAAATCAAAAACTCAAACACATCAAACGAATGGAAAACAACTGTCATATTCCTGACTAGGTACAGGCATTTCCTTATCTAGAAAATTGAAGATTAAACCTTTCTTATAGCTAGCTAAACCACACTTGTATGACAGTCGCATATAATTACATGATATTGACATCAATGTGTGAGCAAATCAAACATACATTATAGGTAAAAATGTCAAAAATTTGGATACAGCAGTCAATATTGTGTTCAAATCTTAACCACTATAAAACAAACAACTATGTCAACAAAGAAAAACAAAATGGCATATAGACACACTATAGACAAAGCACATAAACAAAAATGAAAGACAAGCTTAAGAATACAAAAATGACCATAGCACAATATCACAATGGCGGAATGTATTAATACCCGCTGCGCCATAAGGATATTACCAAAAATGTACTAGGCCGTACGGTTGCCTATAATTGCTTACATCCACTTCATTTGAACTTTGGTGGATAGTTGTCTCATTGACTACCATACCACATCTCCTTATTTTTTATAAACAGTAAAGGTTAAAAATATACGAAAACAAATAAAAAGAACACTATAACACGTAATTAAGATGATAAACAACGTCAGTACCTATAATCTATACTTCAAGACCATCATGTATTATTTGTGAAGTTGATACGGAATATTTGTCAACAATGTCTTGGTATCTTCCGATGAACTTTTTTAGAAAAAGGACGAGACGTTCTTTGACATAACCCTGGTTCATCAACTTTCTGCTCAAATACTGGTGACGTTTTATAAAGTCTGAGTAGCAGCTGCAAGCTCTTGAATACCGAATGAGTTGGGAAATGTATATCCCATATGCAGGTGTAGTTGGTATATTGCTGCTAAGGTGGGGAAATTTATAATTTCAAAAATTGAAATCGTCTCGTTTGTAGATTCTGGTACTGAGAAGACCGCTTATGTCAAATTCAAGGTATTAGTCTAAAAATTCTTAAGGGTTCCGCGAAACCCTGTGTCTCGCCTGCGATTGCTGCTGTCAGTTTAAAAGTGTTATGTTGACCTAAAAAGTGATACCAACGGGACATTCAAAATCGAAAATTAACTGACAACGCCATGGAAAAAGACAAACCAAACAAAAGTACACAAAACACAACATAGAAAACCAAAAACTGAGCAACAGAATTAAAAAAAAAAAATCAAACTTTTTTTTAAATACTACTTCTTGGTCTTGAATATTAGCGTCTGTCCAAGTTAAGCCCTTTTCAATTGATTTTTATAGTTTGTTCATAGGGTGTATTGTAACACCACTGTCCCAGGTTAGGTGGGTGGGGTGGGGGGGGGGGGGGGGCCCGCTAACATGTTTAACCCCGTCTCATTCTGTATGTGCCTGTCCTAAGGCAGGAGCCTGTAATTCAGTGGTTGTCGTTTGTTGCTGTATATCATATTTGTTTTTCGTTCATTATTTTGTACATAAATCAGGCCTTTAGTTTTCTCGTTTGGATTGTTTTACATTTGTCATGTCGGGGCCTTTTATAGCTGACTATGCGGTATGGCTTTTACTCATTGTTAAACGCCGTACGGTGACCTATAGTTGTTAATTTATGTGTCATTTGGTCTATTGTGGAGATTTGTCTCATTGGCAATCATACCACATCTTCTTATGTTTATAGTCAACCCCAGACTGTATCTACTTGTCAACTGTAAAAAAACTAAGTCTATTTATCAGTAAAATACAGAAAAATGAAAATAAATATTTTTTAAATTTTGGTCTGGACACTTATTTTAGTCATTAATAAGCTTCTGTCCAAATTTCATAAAATTCCATGAAGGTTTGATAAAGTTATTGATGACTGAAAAACTCTAACCTCAGACTGAGCCTGAATGTTAACTGTAAAATAACTAAGCCCATTTATCAGTAAAATACGGAAAATGCAAATAGATATTTGCAAAATTTTGCTCTGGATACTGTCTTTTGGTTATAAACAAGATTCTGTCCAAATTTAATAAAATCCCATGAAGGTTTGACAAAGTTATTGATGAATGAAAAACTATAACCTCGAACTAAATTTGAAAGTTAACTATAAAAAAAACTAAGTCCATTTATCAGTCAAATACGGGAAAATGAAAATAAACATTTTCAAAATCGCTCTGGATACTGTATTTTGGTCATAAAAATGCTTCTGTCCAAATTACATTAGGTGTCTAAAAAAACTTCAACCACAGACTGAACCTAAATGTTGACGCCGCCGACGACGGAATCTAGGGTCGCTATGTCTCGCTTTTGCGACATAAATGTCGCAGGCTTGACAAAAATGAGGTGGAGGATGACGCGCCTGTTGTTTCCTTAATTTCTAATTCTGGAGGATATGTTAATGGAACCCAATCAGAAAATTAACATCCGTAATTTGAAGTATAATTTCTAAAGGGCATTTTGTGACTACTCAACCAATGTTTTCTTTGAAATAGATTTATTAATGATCCTACATGAGTACAGCTGATTGTGATGTTCATCTTCTCCTGACGGTTTTGACTGCTCCAGTTCCTTCTTTTTGCTTGGAAGCTCAAACATCTTCATTGTATAATGCTTACAAAATAGGACGTCTCTTTTGTGCTAATTTGTTACCCATGCTGGTATTTTATAAGTTTGGGTGTATACCTGTATATTCTGAAGGCATACTGAATATTTACGGAGGTAGGCTCCGAGCCAACCAACTCACATACGTACCTGATCTGGGTACCTTATGGTGGTTATTCCAGGACAAGTCTCGTGCGTACTATAATCAGTTGTATAAAGACGATCGAGAACATGCATTTCATGGAGAGTTGTCTCATTGGCACTCATACCACATCTTCTTATTTATATTTTATATGACCGCATTTTTTTTTCGTCGTCGTCGTCTGAAGACATTTGGTTTCCAGACAATAACTTAAATATTAGTGTATGGATCTCTATGAAATTATACCACAAGGTTTCAAACCTCAAAAGAAAGGTTGGGATTGATTTTGGGGGTTACGGTTCAAACCGTTTAGGAATTAGGGGTCAAAATATGCTATATAATATGCTGAATATAACCGTGTATTTAGATTTTTGAGTTTGGGCACCGTTATCAAATTGGTCCACATTGAGTTCCACCTGGTCAAGAATTAAACTTTGTTTGATTTCATCAAAAATTGAATTCTTGGGGCTCTTTTATATGCTTAATCTAGCCATGTATTTAGATTTTGGATATTGGACCATAATAGTCCTATAAATGCCAAATTTCACAAATTTTTAAGTTCTTAGACCACATTCATTCTGTGTCAGAAACCTATGCTGAGTCCTATATTTAATCAAATCTAAGCTGTATCAAGCTTGGATGTTGTGTCCATCTTTACCCCAACTGTTCATGGTTCGATCTCTGCAGTCGTATATGAAGCTGTGCCATGAAGAGCATTTTATTTATTTGTACGTTTCAATCTGACCAGCACAGTCACCTCTTTCATTCCCCATACTAACTGTTTAACCAACAGACCAATGTACTTGTTGTACCTATAAAACAATTACATTCCTATATCCCAACTTCTAACAGACACTTGAAAACTACATATAAATAACAAGCATACCTGATCTTTCAGAAAAGCTGAACAATATGATGTAATGAATCATGAAAATAAATCCGACAGAACTGTGATGATTAAACACCATTTTGTTGTTACTTCCGAAATATAAACCGCACAATGTGTATGAACTGTATTAACTAGCAATTATACATACGATTGTATTATCGGAGGGAGTTGTAGTACTGAACTGTTATTAACATGGCTAATGCGACTAAAAATCTTTGATGAAATGTTAAATGAGGAATTGTCCTAAATGTCAGTTTTTTCGTTATATCTTATTTATACTTTTTTTTCTCGATCAACCAAAATTCACCTAAGTTTATAGTTTATCCGTATAAATATAAAATTTCAACATGTAGACAATACATGTTTATGTTGTAACATTGTCTCTGATTTTTTATGCAGTAAAACGGTATTTTTCTTAATTTATTAACTGTTTGATGCGCCTTATACTCAAACGTTCAATTGATTTAAAAACACTTTGCCTACACCAGAAATATTTTCTATTGTATTTTCCTCCAAGTACCTTATAATCCGGACACACTAGGATAAAATGGAATATGTATACTGAATACACTAACTAATAGATACCTATATTTTGGCAATGCACAAGGTCATGTTTTTCTCTCACTGTAAATGACGTCTTTACACAAAATCCATCGGATGTTGGATGTGTACTGATATTTTAATCTTAGACACAAGATTTTTTTAATATTTTTTATTGGCTTTGAACTAGCTTTCAGTAACTGCGAGTACTCTAAGGTCTGTACTTTGTGTCTTTTGTGTTTTTGTTAGGGTTTTTATGTTCTTTGTATCTATCTGATGAGTTAAGCCCTTTTCAACTGATTTTTATAGTTTGTTCTTATGTTGTACTGTAACACCACTGTCCCAGGTTTTGGGGGAGGGTTTGGTGCCAGCAAACATATTTAACCCCAACAAATTATGTATGTACCTTTCCCAAGTCAAGAGCCTGTTATTCAGTGGTTGTCGTTTGTTGCTATATGTCATATTTGTTTTTCGTTTATTGTTTTATACATAAATCTGGCCGTTAGTTTTTTCATTTGATTTTTTTTTTAAATTTGTCGTTTCGGGGCCTTTTATAGCTTACTATGCATTATGGGTTTTGCTCCATGTTGAAGGTCATACGATGACATATAGTTGTTTAACCTCTATGTCAGTTTGTCTTTGGTGGAGAGTTGTCTCATTGGCAATCATACCACATCTTCTTATTTTTATGTTCAGTATATATGTTACAGGCAATTTCTAAATTTAAGCATTTTGTAAAATGACTGAATTTTAAATGGAAATTTATACAATACCTAACATTGACAAGCATTAAAATAAAAATACCTAGTCATTTTGTGAAATGACTGAAATGACTGAAATATGTGAAAATTATTCAACAAATTGCCTGTTCAGTTTCAGGCAATTTGTAGAAAACAATATCATTGAGATACATGACCAAAAACAAAATATATTGCATAGAAAAAAATATGGTGCAGTATAATTAAGTTTATTTTTCAAATACCAGGAGGGAAATTTGAAAGTTCTATGTCTTTTATAAGAACTTCACACAGTAAAACGACTTAAAGTATGTATTCTCTTTGTATTTCATAGGGTCATTGTATTACTTGCTTTTCAAGATGGCAGAATGAAAAATTGTGCTTACAATAGAACAAATGTCTGTAGCATATACATACATTTTTCAAAACTCTCGTCTCGTCCTTTGTTGTTTCATACAGTATTCTGGTTGTGTCAAAGAACCTGATATCTAGAAGATATTGAAAACAGCAAACACTTTACTTTGATTTGTATTTTACTAACGAGGCACCAGTATTTCCGTTTTGAAAATCGCGAAAATTCTTTATAGGAAACTGAAGATGTTATTTGAATTGTTTGTTTCAGTAAAAGACAGAATTTCTCTCGGTGATTTATTACAATACTATAAAAAAAAAACAATGCGATAAAACATATTGCAATGACTTAACTTAGATAAAAGTAGCACTACTCAGAGACGTGCGTGGACAAATGACATGCCTTAATAAACAAACTATCTCAGTCTTGTGTCGTAACTTAGATAGACATGCCTTCATACACAGACTATTTCGGTCTTGTGTCGTAACTTAAATAAAAGTTGCACTGCTCACAGACGTACATGGACAAATAACATGCCTTCATAAACAGACTATCTCAGTCTAATAGGATTAAACAGATTGAGGACAAACCGCCAAATGGGGAATAGTTCCCCAAATGAGTAACTATCCCTCAATTTAGGGCTACTTTTCTAGTGTTAAAAAAACATTTTTTGTTTATACACATTTTATATATATTTGGAATGGCACATATTCATAAAAATGCAGCAAATTTTCCGAAAGATGAATAGCCCTAACCTGTTACAAGCCTATGAAAACTTCGAAAAATTTACAATTTTCAAGGCTAACTTTTTTTTATTAACCCAAAATAAAAATATAGTACTTTGGACGAAATTGTTCCATTTTCGATTTTAGGATCTTTCATTCAACAGTCAAAACGAATTTGATATTCCAAATCAGCAGTTCTGTTTTCTTTTTCCTCTTTGTTTTTTTTTTTGTGCTGTTTTTTCTTTCTCTGTGTTGTCCCAATGTTTGACTCCTTCCCTTGTTTTCTACACTTACTAATGCTTTGATGTGCGTGTTTTGATATTATTATGCATTGTATATGGGAGGACTATATAATATATGAGTTCTGATAACTTGTGTCCAATCCTATTGGTTATTGATTGCAATAACATCTTTAAAATAAATACGTCGTAACTCTATAAATTTATGTCATTACAAATGCTGTGTATCTTCTACATTGTAAATGTTGTAATTTAGAACAGCCATTTCACAAACGTATGAACGGCTGTCGTAGTGACTAGGAATGCAAGCCAGACCTTTCTCTTAGTCGACATTTGAGAACCCCTGGCCACATTAAGGCAGACCTCAATCGACTGACTATTACCATCATAGACCACAACACTGCTTGATCTAGGGAGGATAGACTCACTCGGGAATTGCCTGTTCAGTTTCAGGTAATTTGAAGACAACAATATCATTGAGATACATGACCAAAAACAAAATATATTGCATAGAAAAAAATATGGTGCAGTATAATTAAGTTTATTTTTCAAATACCAGGAGGGAAATTTGAAAGTTCTATGTCTTTTATTAGAACTTCACAGCAAAACGACTTAAAGTATGTATTCTCTTTGTATTTCATAGGGTCATTGTATTACTTGCTTTTCAAGATGGCAGAATGAAAAATTGTGCTTACAATAGAACAAATGTCTGTAGCATATACATACATTTTTCAAAACTCTCGTCTCGTACATGTGGGTGGATGTGTACCAATCACTATTCCTTTGTTGTTTCATACAGTATTCTGGTTGTGTCAAAGAACCTGATATCTAGAAGATATTGAAAACAGCAAACACTTTACTTTGATTTGTATTTTAATAACGAGGCACCAGTATTTCCGTTTTGAAAATCGCGAAAATTCTTTATAGGAAACTGAAGATGTTATTTGAATTGTTTGTTTCAGTAAAAGACAGAATTTCTCTCGGTGATTTGTTACAATACTATAATAAAAAACATTGCGATAAAAAATATTGCAACGACTTAACTTAGATAAACTTAGCACTACTCACAGACGTGCGTGGACAAATGACATGCCTTCATACACAGACTATCTCAGTCTTGTGTCGTAACTTAGATAAACGTAGCACTACTCACAGACGTGCGTGGACAAATGACATGTCTTCATACACAGACTTTCTAGGTCTTGTGTCGTAACTTAGAAAAAAGTAGCACTACTCACAGACGTACGTGGACAAATGACATGCCTTCACAAACAAACTATCTCAGTCTTGTGTCTTAACTTAGATAAAAGTAGCACTACTCACAGACGTACGTGGACAAATAACATGCCTTAATAAACAGACTATCTCAGTCTTGTGTCGTAACTTAGATAAAAGTAGCACTACTCACAGACGTACGCGGACAAATAATATGCCTTAATAAACAAACTATCTCAGTCTTGTGTCGTAACTTAGATAAAAGTAGCACTACTCACAGACGTACACGGACAAATAATATGCCTTAATAAACAGACTATCTCAGTCTTGTGTCGTAACTTAGATAAAAGTAGCACTACTAACAGACGTACACGGACAAATAATATGCCTTAATAAACAGACTATCTCAGTCTTGTGTCGTAACTAAGATAAACGTAGCACTACCCACAGACGTGCGTGGACAAATGACATGCCTTCATACACAGACTATTTCGGTCTTGTGTCGTAACTTAAATAAAAGTTGCACTACTCACAGACGTACATGGACAAATAACATGCCTTCATAAACAGACTATCTCAGCCTAATAGGATTAAACAGATTGAGGACAAACCGCCAAATGGGGAATAGTTCCCCAAATGAGTAACTATCCCTCAATTTAGGGCTACTTTTCTAGTGTTAAAAAAACATTTTTTGTTTATACACATTTTATATATACTTGGAATGGCACATATTCATAAAAATGCAGCAAATTTTCCGAAAGATGAATAGCCCTAACCTGTTACAAGCCTATGAAAACTTCGAAAAATTTACAATTTTCAAGGCTAACTTTTTTTTATTAACCCAAAATAAAAATATAGTACTTTGGACGAAATTGTTCCATTTTCGATTTTAGGATCTTTCATTCAACAGTCAAAACGAATTTGATATTCCAAATCAGCAGTTCTGTTTTCTTTCTCCTCTTTGTTTTTTTTTGTGCTGTTTTTTCTTTCTCTGTGTTGTCCCAATGTTTGACTCCTTCCCTTGTTTTCTACACTTACTAATGCTTTGATGTGCGTGTTTTGATATTATTATGCATTGTATATGAGAGGACTATATAATATATGAGTTCTGATAACTTGTGTCCAATCCTATTGGTTATTGATTGCAATAACATCTTTAAAATAAATACGTCATAACTCTATAAATTTATGTCATTACAAATGCTGTGTATCTTCTACATTGTAAATGTTGTAATTTAGAACAGCCATTTCACAAACGTATGAACGGCTGTCGTAGTGACTAGGAATGCAAGCCAG